GGTGAAGAATTAGGAACAAAGCTGAGGATATCTTACATTCTTTATGCACTTATATATTAATTTAATATTTACCTAGTTTTTTTTTTAATCTGTTTATCCATGTTGTAATTTTACTTCTGGTTCTTGTGTGTATTCCATATACACTGTGTACACAACATCTATTGCATGTCTGTCAGAATAATCTCTCCTCTCTTGCTCTTCATGAATTTTCTCCCCTTTTCCCTGTTAAAGGGTTTATATTGTAACGTTATCCAAATCAAGGGTCTAAGAGTAAATGCTACATGTTGTGCAGATTGTGAAGCCCTTTGAAGGAAATCTTTGATTTTGTTGAAACTAATCACATTATTATTCATTATTTACTCCTATAACATATTATCCTGTAAGTTAAAACACACTTTTAATTGCACCTGTCATCCGTGAGCATTAGGTTGTGGTAAGATTTGAAGATATTCAAGGTGACAAAAGACAAATCTGGTTTTAGTCTTAGAGTCTTTTACTCTGTAGAGCATGTTAAACAATTTCTCTTAATATATTCTTATATATTCTTATACTTTACTTATTCTACTTGAGTAGAATGTTCTGGTTCAGTCTCTGCCTGTTCAGGTGTAAATAACCTTTCCTACTTTAAATAGCACAAGCACAACAAGCCTTAGTTAAACATCCTTTTGATTAGTTCATTGCATTATAATAACGTCAGCCCAGATCCTGTATCACGTCAGGTATTGTTAGGGGATCTCACGTCAGGACTAAATGCCTGAGCCCTCGTCAGTGACAGCGTATAAGGAGCAGGTGTGGTTTGTGCTTGATAGAAAAGAATCAGTCACTCACCTCTTTTGTTTGTTTTTGGTAAGTTCTGCTCTGATCTGAGAAAACCCTGAGAGCGAAGTTTGTCGGCCGCTGCCAGCTTCAAAACAGTTTCTTTGAGGTCCTCAACCTAAAAACAACAACAACAAAAAATATATGTAGATGTATGGTGATCACATAGTCTCAATTTTAGCCTCTCTGCATTGGCTCCCAGTTGATTTTAGAACTGATCTGCAGATATTAATTTTAAAGCACCCCACAGTCTGGTCCATCATATATTTGTGAACTTTTTTGCCCATGTGTACCTGCAACAAACCTGTATTACCAGTCCCTCTGATCTAGGCTTAAAGCTAAAGGAGATGCATTTATAATAATATTTATAGTCTACTTTATTTATAAACCATTTTTCAAAACAGTTACAAATCACTAAAAGTACAGAGAGCAGATAAAATATCAACAATAAAATGATATTATTCAGTTTAGAATGTTTTTTTTTTAGATAAGTTTTAAGAAGGGGTTTAAAAGATTTTGCCAATTGTGCGAAAGCCTCAAACTCTGGAGCAGCCTTCTTGTTAAAAATGCATCTTCCTACCTCAGTGACTTCCTTTAAATCTCTACTAAAACAGTTTTATAAACTTCCAATTCGCTCCTTTACGTTTAACCTCTTCTTTGTCCTGTCCCAATCATTTCTGATATTTTAATGATTTCATTTTTTGATTTTGCTTTTTTTCTTTCTTTTTTTCCTTGAAACACTTTGTAAGTTCATTTGCTGTGCGATAATATTTTATATATAGTGCTATATTGCATATTACACTAGTGAGGACAGATGCATATTATCAGCCTTACCATGTTCACAAACTTATCTTGTTGTGCTGAACCTTTAGCCCCTGTGGGGAAAAAAATGTAGTAAAAGTTGAAATAACATTATTTTGAAAATCATATTTGACTCATTTGTCTTTGGACTGCAAATATCTATTTATTATTCGTTATTATTTTTACCTGTGTTCCAGGAGTCTCGGCCTCCGTTGTGCTGCATCAGTAGAGGATACAGATTATTCATCTCTCTCTGCTCCCCCTCGGCAGCGTTGGACCCATCCTCGACCTCTGACACTAATTTCTGAATGAAATCTATTGAAATAAAACAACTTCCTCTCATCATTCTGTCATTCGGACATCAATACCTCTGCAGTGAGTTTGCCCATGACAAGAGGTCAGTTTTAAAAAGGTATAATTTACCTGAAGCAAACCAACATTTTCAGTAAAATTAAAAGAATATATTAAGACAAAATGAGAAAACTATTCAGAAAGAGTCTTACCCGGCTGTGGCTCCAGGTTGGTATCAGGGTACAGAGGTAGGGCATGTGTCCGTCTTGCAGAACAAATCACAGCTACAAGGTAAAACAGAGCTACAGAAAGCATGGTGCCTCTATCTTTAGATGACCCGATCTGGACTATACCTCAGCCCGACTGAGAACTTCACTTATATACCCTCAGAGGCCATCCATCACAACCTGATCAATACATTATCATCACACCCAGTCTCCTTCTTAATGGTTCGGATGGGATGGATCAGGCGTCATAGACACAATTTAGGGGACCCTGTCAATTCAGCCGGAGCCTATCTGTGCTTGAACAGAGAGGCCTAACAAATGTTTACTCTGCAGCAGCAATCACCGGCTGTCCAGCGGAGCTCTGATGGTTTATGTCCAATTCGTGTCATTGCTCATGTCTGCGATCACAGAGCTGGTGGAAGTGTCTCACTGTAGGTTTCTGTGTCACTTTGAGTTGAACGATTAACATCTCTGAGGTCATTAATTATGACTGTCCATAGAGCAAACAGGTCACATTGTGGTAAATATATTATACATTGTGTTAATCCTGAGCTAAAGGTACAAACAGTTATAAGGGGGAAGATGCTGGAGGGGTGGGTGAAGGGGGGAAGAGGGTATGTAGATTTTTAACAAATGTTAAAACGTGAACCTTTCATTTCTTTGTACACACGTTCTATTTGTTCTCAATATACAAGACTAAGAGACTGCAGCCATGCTAGAGGCTCTGTGAGGCTGCACTTGTGTTGCTTTGAGCTAAATGCTAACATATCTTAGCTGGGAATGATGGAGTTCATTCATTACATTAACAAATATTTGGTCATAAACTAAAGTGTTGAACAAATTAGCTCTTTGATGCGATGATGGCGCTGGATGAGAAGTTAAGCATTTGCCAAAGTTACTGCAAGTCATCCTGCAGGGGGGCATGCACCATATTTCAGTGACCACAAATTCAGCCTCATGGTGGCACTTGAGAAAAAGTAAGAAGATCACCAAAGTCATTAGGACACATCATTTGGGCACTATGGATATGTAACAAATATCATGGCGGACCATCTAATATCTAATAAGTGTCACAAGTGCAAATGTGCAGTGTGCAGGGCAGTGTAAAAGATTCAGTGATGTGGCAGAGAAGGCAGAGCATATACGGAGGTCAGATTGTACTGACGGCCTGAGGAAAGAAGCTTTTTCTTAACACACATCTATTATGTGCAGGTGGTACATCCAAAATTCACCTCTACCTGAAAAACAGCTAATTTGATCACAAAACATTGCACTTTTCCTAATACGGTTAAGACGACATGCAGATAACTGCGTCGAGAGAGGACAGAAAATTACAATGTGAGATTTAAAAACGAACGTATCACTTAACTTCTAAATGTTTAAAATGTAAGAACAAAGTCAAGAGTAAATTATTCCAAAAATATAAAAGATCAAAAGCAGTCTGGAGTTTTACCTGTTCAACAAAGCTGTAGGCCGAAGGGCTTTTTGTCAAAATGAAAGGTCACAAATGCTCTTCAGATGAATGTACGTGGCATCAGGTGATTTATATGGTTGTCTCCACAGCTCTGTTGAAAACAACAACTTTTGATTCATCTGGCCGCTGAGCAGTCAACGAGAGGAGGCAGAGGCACAGCAGAGTTTGGCTTTAGGGTCAAACAGTGACTTTAAAACTGACATACCAGCCACATAAACACATTAGTCATTTAGAGAGGGGCAGTAAGACAAAACAATAACAAACTATCACAATTAAGATTCCATGCATGATTTATATTGATGTGTTTATCGTGGTCAAGGGGAATGTGTATTTAAAGTCATTATGGCTTCCTCTGTCGTTGACCTGAAAACAAAAACTGAGATCACACAGTTTTGATACGAACTCAAACTGACTGTTTTGCTCCAAGTATGACAAAGCATGAATTTTAAATTAACTGATTTGTTTAGACCCAATAGTAAATATCTGAGGAGAAGATTTGAGAAAATAATAGGACATGGCATACATACAAATGTGGGCAAATTACTTAATTGTGTGTCCTCACTTCCTTGTGAATTATTCAAATCCAGCCGGACAGAGAGTACGGTCAATTTCCATGAACGAAGGCTCTTAAAATAGCTGTGGTGTTTAAACAGGAAGAGGGCATCTGCTGTGTCACCGCTTGTTTTCCAACAGAGAACACAAATTAGGGAGCACAACATGTTTTAAAACCTCATAGTGAAAGCTTAATTATAGTGGGTTGAGAAAAGAGGGATGAAATATGATTTCACATTGTGCAGACTGTCTTATATGTGTTTTAAACAATTTGTGACAGATTAATAATAATCTAAATACAGATGTTTACTGAATAGTTATTTGTATGAGTGTGACAGAGGAGGTATCTAAAGAGGAAAGGGCCCACTGAGGTTGCATATGGAGCCCAGAGTTTGTTGTTGTTGTTTCTAGCTCCATTAATCTAAGTGGTTGAGGTGGACAAGGCAGAAGATGGCTGATTGATCACATGAATCCTCAGAGAAGGAATAGTCAACCAGTGATACAGATGAACCCTACATCTCCAATATTTTACATTCTTAAAAAATCCTTACAATTTATTTAGTGTTCAGCAATAACATACAATTATATACAACAGTTAGTTTCTGACCAATTAATTTGATTGCACGAGAGGCAATCCATGAAATGCTGATATAGACAGGGCTGGACTGGCCATCTGGCATACCGGGCATCGTCCCGGTGGGCCGTTGACTCAATGTGGGCCGGTCCGGTCAGCTATGTTTTTATGTTTTGTTTTTTTTTCTTTAAATTCCCTCCAACTGGGCCGATTGGCTACAGACGGCTAGCAGTGTGTTGCCAGCATCGACACATATATTTGTTCAATTGTTTGTCATCATGGGCTGACAGGCTCAGAGAGCTCCATGAGCCTTCGTGTGGATCGGTTTCTTTATTCAGTCGGCACATTTCTGGTGAGTAATTCCACACAAACAGGTTCTCTATTATACACACTTCCAGTAAATGTTGACTTAAGTGTTGTACACAGAACGGTGAAGCACAATATTCCCACCTTGAACAGGCTGTGTTAAAAGGGTCTTAACATAAACACTAGTTAGATGTGTGGATCTGCATTAACCTCGGCTAATCCGTGGATGGGCTGGGTTGGCCATAAAAATGAACATTCTGATTAATAAGGGATGGATGGATTGAATGATATAATGAGGAACATAGTAATTACATTCTGTACAATTTTGTACATTATGCTTTGTTGGCATGCAAATTATACAGGCACTGGGAGTTTATTCCAGACCCAGATTTTATTTGACTATCTGTTTGTTTGACTACTTGTTAGATTATATTGTGGGGATGACGATTGATGCTTTCATGAAATATTTACACAATGAGATTTTTGATAAATAATCACCAGTAATGTCTATATAATGACTAAGTGGGTAAAGGCAAATAATAAGAGCTATAACAGTCTGGTGAGTTCACAAAACGACATCATTTTGCTGTAAGGCAGCCGGTGACAAAAGACGACACTTGTGTCATATCAAGATATTACCATATCCAAAAGCCCACACTCCATTTAATCTCATATCACGATATCGCTGTAATATCCATATATTGCTCAGCCCTAAACTGACACTACTGGTTTTTATTTGAAGAATTTTGGTGCTGTGAAATACTGTACCGTTATGATGAAAAATTCTATAAAATATTGTGATATAAATTGTTTAAAATATTTTTCACCACAACTTTAGTGTCAATGAAAGAACTTTTGATCATATAATTGTTATCTCTGCTCTCTCCCTGATGCTGGTGTTAGGTCCATTGCTGCAACTCAGTCCATCCAACCTGGCAAAACCATTGATGTCCACATACAGTAACATTTGCTGCGTCCTTACGTCAACAGCTACTGGATGGGACAGGAGGATGTAGCACCTTGGAAACATCTTGACTAATTAAAGACACTTTTATGCCAATGGACTTCTATCTGCCCATGGACCTGTAATAGTAAGTCAGGGTACCTGGTAATTCTATTCAACCACATTGTATAACCAAAACTGCCAGTTCAACATCAGTAATCTTAACCATCAAGATGATCTGTAACTATCATATTTAGCACTCATGTATTTTTATTTTAAAAAAAAAGAAAAAAAAAAGATCTTTTTGGTCATTCAAATATATCATAAGTTTGACTTGTATGTATTTTTCATTGACATTTTTAGTAGCATAAGATAGCATTATATAACCAAAGGTCATTGGGTCTTTACCAAAACAGGCTAAGAGATGTGTTTTGAGTGATACATAACAAGCAGAGTTGCAAGTATTTTACTGTTACATAACAGTGAGTGTTTTTGTGCTAATAATGTGAAGTGTATTAAGACTTTAGATTACAGGTTGTAGACATTCAGTGTAAGTTGACTAACTAGCCCAATTAACAGTGAAAACATTGCATTGCATTATAAATTTTAGATTAACACAGTCATATTAAATGGCAAAACCTTATATTTATTTGACATTTTAAGGAAACTTATGAAGAATAAAGTAATGTTTTATATTACAGACTAGTCAATGTACATTAAAACAGTCATATTAATGGCACAAACTATATGGTATTCATATATCAATTTAAAAAAGAAAAAACCTGTTAATTTTATTTTAGGAAACTGGTAGCTGTGGTTGCCAGAATTTTACAGTGATAAATACAGTAGGCCCTTTTCTGCTATTATGGTAGATGGATATTAGTATATAATTAACATAAAAATCATGTTTATTATATGGCAAAACAGCGTTTTTCTTATGGTAAAAATTTGCATTTTTAAAACCGTAAAATCTGCGGTACTAATATCTCATTTCCATAATAGTGGAAAAAGTTCTACAGTATTTATTACCTTAAAATTCTGGTAACCACAGTTGCCTGTTTTCATGCATGCATAATAAGTCTTGGCTAAAGAAAACATTCTAAATTTATGTTAATGATTTTTTTGTTTCGCTAATATATAACAAAATATAAATAATAACAAATTGTCATGCACTAACCAGAAACACACATTTTGTCCACTTAAAATAATGAATTAAGTGTGGCACAGGTTTTATCTATGCTTTTAAGATATAAGCATGTAATCTTACAAAAAATGCTAAAATTCTTTAGTTACATTTAGTATGAGACATGACTTATGTCAGGCTTGTCATCCATCTGAAAATGGCAGTTTTAAGCAGTGTTCATTTTGTCTAACAGAACACGTAAAATACAGACCTGTGGCCTGTAGCAAATTAACGACTATTTAAAAACAAATAGAGTCCAAGCATTAGACATCTGACTATTCTCATATTGTGTATATTTGCAGGTGTACAGTGGACTGTGGAAGGAAAGACCCGTTGTGATCAAGTGTGCTATTGAGGATCTAGTCAAGACTGACGGAGCTCCAGACTGTACTGCAAGAGGCGATGAGCTTATTTGACAAACCCACTCATGGAACCTCTATGGATGAATTTAAAGAGATGCTGCACAGTTTCCTTAAGGTTGTTTTTTTCTCAGCAATTACAATCTCTCATCATAGTGTATTATATTGGAACAACTACTGCCATACAGAGCACAACCTGATCTAATCGAACACTCTTTCATTGAGTGTAACAAGCACACAAACTAGGAAATAGTTTGTGTATCAGTGTGTTTGATACGTCTTGGATACAGAAATGTTAAATGTCTATGACAAACATGCAGACTGTTTAAATCAAATATTTTTATATCAATATTTTTTTTATTTATACCACATTTACCTTTACTTGCAGGCTAAGCTTGGTGAGCAGCCATCTTTGAACACCTTGGTGGACAGGGTCATCACTCTGGCTGATGTCAATCAGGATGGCAAAGTGTCTCTAGCAGAGGCCAAGTCTATCTGGGCTCTTCTCCAGATCAATGAATTCCTTCTGATGGTGACGCTGCAGGAGAAGGAGCACACGCCCAAGCTGCTCGGCCTCTGTGGAGACTTGTATGTGACAGAACATGTGGACCACAGCTCCCTCTACAGGATAGAGGTGCCTCATTACCTGCAGGCCCTGGTCCCAGAGGCCTTGAGCTCCAGCTTGAACCACTGGCTTGCATCAGTCTGGCCCCGCAGAGCTTGCATCACCATCAGCCGGCTGGAGGTCTTCCACAGGTCCTACAGGAGTTTGTGTTGTGTGTTTGTGTTCCCTTTACATAACAAAAACAAAAAACTACAACAAGAGTGCAGAGTTACGCTGAACATATACTTGGTCAAAGCAACATTAAATTTCAAGGCTGTGTGTAATTTCCTTTTTTTATTTATTTATTTGTTTCATTAAATGTCCTTTGCACTTATGAGCAAACTGTTTCTTTGTGAAAGCCAGATTCAAAAAGGCTTCATTATTGGCTCATAGTCTATCATAAAATGTATGTATATGTATATGTAAGTTTAAGTAACACAGAGCTAAAAGAGGGAACACTGGACTGACATCATCATGAGACATCAGGTGACACAAACACCACTCCAAATGCAACAAATGACATAATTATAGATAATGTCAATCAAAAGGTATAAATGAAGACAGAAGAAGTTGTCCTCCTGTCTTCTCTTCATCTCTTCAGGAGAGGAGTGGTGCTGGAGCGAGGAGAGGACCAACAGTACTGGATGAGGGGCCATGCTGTTCATCATAGGGAGGAGGAGGAGGAGGAGGAGGCAGACCCCTGCTGGAGGGCCCAGGCTGCTCCTCCGGGACATTGAAGTTAAAGGGCTGTCCTTGTCCCACCTGGACCAATGACAGACCCTTTGCTGAAGGGAGAGTCTGGCCAGCACCTGGAACACACAGACAAACACAGACTGTTTTAGGATTTTCAGCTTTCATTAAAAGATAAATCACAGAACAGATTACAACACACCAACTCATCTTTATGACAAACTCTTACCACTGAGTCCTCAATTCAATTCAAAGAGCTGGATGTTCGTCTGAGCCATCAACCTAGGGCCGGCCAGCACTGCCTTTCTGATGCCACATAATCCTGGAGAATGAATGACCAGCGAGTCCTCATGGTTCCTCTGGACCATGTGGCCACCGGGTGAAGACGCAGAGCTGGTTGCAAACGGCCTCCACCAGGCGGCTAACACTGGCCCAGTTTGCAGGGCCCGAGTTCAGTCCAAGAAGACAGCTGAAAGATAATCAGAGAGCAGTGTGTGTTAATATAGATCTGATATTGATTAGAGGAAACAGTGATATCTGAAGTGAATCTCACCTCTGGAGACTCTCCTTCCCAGGACAGGAGGTGTGCTTCCCCGTCGCTGCCTTGAACTGTCACCTGGGCTGCCTCTCCTGGTCTCTGGGAGGGAAGACAACTCGCTCTTCCTCCTGGTCTGTCTGGCAGGTGTTGCCAGGAGCTTGGAAGTACTTGGCACTGGCTTGAGGAAAAAAGGTTTTGGATCAAAAATTAATTTTATGTTTGCATGAAACGATAATACACAACATACTTAAATCAAAAGCTATGAGACACATGCATGTACCTGGGATGAAGTGGTTAAGGTGGAAACCAGAAGACTGACCCCGCCCCTTTGTCAGTCTACCAGTCTCTGTGTACAGCTGCACCTGGTGAGTCCTGAATGCAGCTGAGGTGGCTCCTTTGTGTCTCCATTTGTCCTGGATGCAGAGAGAATCCAGGAAAGAGAGGTCCAGAGGGACGTGGAGATCCTGAACGAGGATGGCCTCTGCCCCATGTGTCCTCCTCCAACAGTGGAGCCTCCACTCCTCCCAGGAGATCCTCTGGATCACCTTGGCACCAGTCAGGCCGAGCATCCTGTGCTTCCCCTCCAGCGAGGACCGCTATGCCTCAATGTGCCAACAGGCACCTCCGGGGTCCACCTCGAAGATGTGGCGTCATCAATCCAACCACCATCCTGGAAAACCAACACACCAAGATTGGTAACCCAGGAAACCGTTTCGGAAGCAGCACCAGCGAGCTTCTTTGTCACCTACAGAGAGAGAGAGAGAGAGAGAGAGAGAGAGAGAGAGAGAAAGATTTCAAATGTTAATGTTGATATTTGTGTGAATTTAGCATAAAGAAAAAAGAAAAGCCTTATGTTGTGTTTGTCCCTGTTTCTCACCAATAAAAGGTTTAAAGAAAAAAAAACATCAGCAAGCTAGCTGCTAATGCAAATGCTAGCAAGCTACCCCCTGTGTCACCTTCTATTTGTCCCTGCTTTTTTCACCAATAAAAAAAAGATTAAAAAAAAGCTAATGCTAACAAACTAGCCCCCCCAGTTATCAAATTCAGTCATCAATAAAAAACCCAGACAGATCAGTTAGACATACAGTGCATTTAGAAAGTTCTTTTTTGCATTGTATTATTTTGAATAATCTTATAAATCATTAAATGCAATCATCAATGAGTAATGCTAACAAGCTAGCTGCTAATACTACTGCTAGCAAGATAGCCCCCCCACTTGTCATTTTGCAATTTTATAAAGAAATCGTTAAATTCATTAATCAATGACCAACTAGCTGCTAATGGTAGCACTGATGAAAATAGGGGGCAGCTCTACGTACTGTACTTTCACATATTCATTGCTGCCGTTATCATCATTATCATTTATTGCAATATATCATTGTTATTATTTAATTGTTATTTCTACAATTATAGGTATTATTTTAACTACTATTGTCATTATAACTATATACAATTACAAACAAAATGTCACTTATACATCATACATTGTCACTTGTTTATTGTGCTTCATGTTTAAAATGTCTTCTGCGTCACCTTGTTTGTAGTGTTATTTTACATTCTTATGGAATTGTTAGTCAATCAATGAACAATGCCAGCAGGCTAGCTGCTAATACTAATAAGATACCCCCCCCCCCCGTCGCCTTCAGTTTGTCCATTTCTTTTTCACATTGCATACACATTGTTAATTCCATACATCAATGGAAAAAGCCATATATCTAGCTGCTAATGCTAATGCTAGCAAGCTAGCCCCACCCCTCTGTTCTGTTTTATTCATTAATAAAGGAGAAAAAAATGCTAATGCTAGTTCCTAATGCTAACCCCCCGTTGCTTGTCCCAGTTATTTCACCAATAAAGATATAAGAAAAAAAAGCTAATGCTAATGCTAGCTAGCTCATAATGCTAACAAGCTAGCCCCCCCTTTCTGTGTCACCTTCTGTCCCTGCTTTTTCCACCAATAAAGGAAAAAAATAAATGCTAATGCTAATGCTAGGAGAGAGATACAGTTAACATCCCACATTTAATATTAGACTTAATGTGAATCGATAAAATGCACTTTTGCTAACCTAGCTTAGCTAGCTAGCTTAGCCATAGCTGATTACTTAGTGTTTGCCATGGTAACGCGTACCGTTGTCCAAACATGCAAACGATTTGCAGGACAAAGATAATAATAGTTGAAGCAATTGAACTCAAGCTCTCAATGTGTAAGATACGAATTTTCCTACGATGCAAGCAATAAACCGATTCAGTTTGTATTCATTAACTTATTTCTCTGGTCTCCTCTTTCTTGCTGCGTCATCTTGTGCTCGTTCTGCGGCACTTCACTACACCAATGTATACTCATTAGGAAATTATCTTGGTGGGGTGTTTATGCTCATATTATAATACTCGTGTGACATTCAGTTCATCCTACAGAAAGTAATATCTCAGGAGGCTGAGAGCCTGGGTATATTAGCAGCGATTGCGAGCTGTATAGTAGTGATATAGTGCATCCCACCATGTCTGAACCACAAAGGTTTTTGTCCTTTACTGTCATTTAAAGGCAATCCACAACTGGAAATCTGAATGACTGGTGCCAACAGAGAGGAGGACGCTCATGTATAGAAAGAGGAGACTGCAACGGACCATTATATTAGTGTCTCAAATGGGGGCCTGGTGATGATGATCGGTGGAATGATATAGCCAGAAAAACTACTTTCAGTTGCCAGCTTCCTCTGATGAGAAGCAGACCATGACTGTTTAGACATTTGTTATGTGCCGGTCAGAACTTTGCCTGCTTTAAGTTCCTGGCTGCTCCAAAGCCTCAAATCTAGATTAGATTAGATTTAGATAAACTTTATTTATCCCACAATTGGGAAATTCATTTACCACAGCAAGAAAAATAAACATCTTATAGAATAAACATCTATGGAAATATACAACAAAAATAATAGCCGAAATATAACACTAATAAATACAAATTTACATAATACAAGACCGCCTATGTACATGAAAAAGTGCAAGTGTGCACATCGGTCAGAAGGCAGGAGTTGTGGAGTCTGACAGCTGTTGGAATGAAAGGACCTGCGGAACCTCTCCTTCTTAACAGCGAGGATGTAAAAGTCTGCTGCTGAACGAAGCGTACTCAGAGACCATTTACAGTGTCATGCAGAGGGTGAAGTTATTGTTCATGATGGATGTCAGCTTAGCGCTAACATTCCTCGCTGTCACTACTTCTCAAGGAGTCCTAGGGGCAGCCCAGAACAGAGCTCGCTTTCGCGGGATCAAGTTTTGTTGAGCCTTGCCTATCCCTGTCCAGTGCTGCCCCCCTCTCCAGCAGACCAATAGCGAAGTAGATGGCTGAGGCCACACAGAGTCGTAGAAGGTGCCTGAGGAGAGCCCCACACACGCCAAAGGACCTCAGTCTCCTCAGCAGGTGAAGGCCGACTCTGACCCTTCTTGTAATGAGAGCGTGGGTGTTGTGACAGTCCAGTTTTTGTTGTTGAGGTGAACCCCCAGGAACTTGTTAGTTCGATCCACCTCGTATGTCCATCCCTGAATGTTCACTGGTGTGAAGTGGGATGTCTTCTCCGCCTGGGGTTCACAATCATCTCCTTTGTTTGCTGGCATTAAGCTGAAAGCTGGTTGATCTTGCACTCAGCGATGATACAACAGTGCATTCTGATGACTGTCCTGTATTTCCAAGTTCAATTTCGCCTCCGAAAACACACCCAACAGATGGCTGTGTCCGTCAGAGAACTGAATGGTGTTGTGTGTGAAGTCCGAGGTGTAACAGGGTGAAAGAGAAAAGGGAGAGCACCGTACCTGGGGGGCACCTTGTACTGCCAGAGCACTAACATCAGACAACACTGTGACGAAGCTCACGTACTGTGGTCTGTTTGGTGAGGTAGTACTATCTCCCATTGGCAGCCAGAATAATGGTCCCACGGTCCCACACTTTTCCAACTTCACACTCTGAGCAGTGACGGCAGGATTGTGTTGAAAGCACTAGAAAAGTCAAAAAACATGACCCTCACAGTGCTCACTGTCCTCCAGGTGTAGCAGTGATCTATGCAGTAGGTAGATCACTGTCAGTTTCCACGCCAACACCAAAGGCCGGTAAAGCCAAAACTGCAGGGGGTCCAGCGGTGCTCACCAGTGGTCTCAACCGTGATCAGGATGATCCTCCTCCAAAGTCTTCAATCAGGTGAGAGGTCAAGACAACAGGCCTGAAATGGTTAGGCTCTTGGGGCGT